CGCTGCGCAGGCGCAGAGAGCGCGCGAGGCCCCCCCCCGGGAAGGAGGGAGGAGCGAAAGGATGACATCACCAACGCGCTCTTAAAAGGGCAGCGCCTCTTTACTTCCCCCGCCCTCCAGGGGCTCTTAAAGGGGCAGTGCTCCCCTTCCCCCGTGACCCTCCCCCCAGCTCCGAAGCACTCAGCAGCAGAGGCGGTGTGAGGCTGCCAATGCCCAGCCAAGGTCTTTTAACAGGGCTCGTGCCCCGCCTGGCTGCCTAACGGAGGCGGGGGCGGGGCTCACAGGACGAATCAGGGAACCCAGTGTATTTACTGCAGGGTGCAAGCCGCACCCATGCGGGGCTGAGGCATCCCCGCTCTGCCCCCCGGGGGAAGCTCACCAAGTTGTGCCGCCCTCTAGGCGCTCCCCGTCACAGCCCCAGTCCAGCAGCCTCTCTGCCAGCCACAGGTTTATTGCAATACATTCCCACTACTGGGTTAGTTAGTAATTTAGCCCTCTAGATTCCAGCTATATCGGTCTGTCGCCCCGCAGCGGGGCACTGTAAAACAGCCTGCTCCCTTACACACTGGAGTAATTTTTAAAGACTAAGAAGACTATTTTTGTAGAAAAATACACTTGCGCCCCGCAGCGGGGCGCTATAAACCAGCCTGCTCCCTTACACACTGGAATAATTTTTAAAGACTATTTTTGTAGAAAAATACACTTCAGTGAGTATAAATGTAGAATCTTAAAGTCAGCAATGACTACAAAAGAAAGAGAGTTAAGCTGAACACTAGCTAGTGCTTTTAAAAAAAACATAGTACAGGTTGAATCTCTCTCCACCGGGATTGAGTTGCTGTGGTCCAGCAACTGGTTGGTCCAGGACCAGAGTCTCCCAGGGCAGGGCTGGTGGCTAGGAGCCTTGCAGTAGGGCTGGAGACCATGAGTGGGGCTACACTATGGTGGCAAAACTGGGAGCCTAGCAGTAGAGCTGCCACTTGGTGGCGACACTGGCCAGCTGGAGCTCAGCAGCACAAGTGCCTAGTGGGACTGGCAAGTGACAGGGGCTGGAGTTTTGCAGGGGAACCAGCTGGCAGTATAACCAGGAACCTAGGAGCCCTGCTGCTGTGCTGCAGTGGAGCTGTCTGGCAGGGCTAAATGACTAAATGAATGGAGATACTTATCTCCTAGAACTGGAAGGGACTTTGAAAGGTCATTGAGTCCAGTCCTCTGCCTTCACAGCAGGACCAAGTACCATCCCTGACAGATTTGCCCCAGATCCCTAAATGGCCTCTTCAAGGACTGAACACTCAGCCCTGGGTTTAGCAGGCCAATGCTCAAACCACTGAACTATCCCTCTCCACTTCTCTCCTCCCTGGTCTGCCACCCAGCACCACAGCTGGAGTCTAACAGCTGGGCTGCTGCCTAGTGGCACACCTGCCAGGTGGTACTGGGAGACAGTGGCACTGGAACTGGGAGCCCAGGAGCAGGGCTGGCAGATGGCGGGCTGCTACAATGGGGCCTGGAGCCCTCTGCATTGAAGGGCCAACAGAGGACACTGGTAGCTAGGCTCTGATGGGGAGGGGAGGAGAGGGGAAGGAAGAATATTACTGGGGGAGGAAGAAATGACCTCTCAGGTCTATCAAAATCTCTTATGCAGACCAGTTAGGTCCCCAGGCTGCCAGACGAGGGAGGTCCGACCTGTAAAAAGTACTAACCCTTAACTAGATTTTTTTCCAAAGTAAAAATTTTACAACCAGCTACAAGCAACACTACTGACCAACTCAGCTCACATAGTCCACTTCATCTTGTGTAAAGGAAAGATGGCAGGGGAGACACAAATGGGGGGTGCTTAACTTCTCATTTTTTCTGAAGACTAAAACTTGCTGTGCAACACTATGGTGAAATGTATGTAGCAGCCCTCTATGTAATGTTACAGTCATAAACATGCTTCTGTCATGATTTCAGTTT